GGAGCAGTTAAAGAAACTACACTGAATACTATTCATCAACTAGGAAGAATGAAATTCTACCATTTGCAACCAAATGATCCCAACTAGAGACCATTATGCTCAGTGAAATAAGTCAGTTTCGAAAGAACAAATACCATATGTTCTCCCTTATATAAGGAAAATTCATGCAAAATATAAGATCAATAGCACATTCAATACTGTTTTTGCTACAATCCATGTGTTTTAATATTTGTCTTTCATTTCTTTAGTTTGTTTTCTCTTATTAAATTCTTCATTGACTCATAGATCATACACTAGTACTATTTCTCCAAGGTTTTTGTTTGTTTTCTGTTTTATTTCATCATTAACAAATTGGTTATTTGGTAGCATATCATTTAACTCCACAGTGTTGAAAAATTTTTTAAACTTTATTCCTGTTGCTGATTTTATTTTACAGGTTTTCATTTAATGGAATGTAAAGTAAATGCATAAGAGAGACTTTCACATCCAGACATGAAAATACAGTGCAGTATGCATCTCTGCTTCCAAATCAAGCAAGAACTTTCAGTGAGACTGATGGATATATCTTGACAATAGGATGCTTGAACTACCGGCAATGTCAGGACACACTTAAATAGCAGAGCGATGGACTTAGTATTGCTTATGAAGGACTCTAATATTGTAATAATTTGAGAGAAATCAGTTGGGGGGCAGTGAACTTGGGGAGGGAGTAAGGAAAATCCCAGAGCCTATGGAACTGTACCATAAAAATTAAAATAAAATAGAAGGGGAAAAAAAAAGAATCCTACTGTTCTACCAATTAGACACTCAAGATACCTGCAAACACAGGAAACAAGATGATTGTATCATCTTTACATCCATGTTTGTCAGAATTCATATTGCTGTCAATAGGCACGCTTTCCAAACTAATATCTTATCTTTTAGCCTCCAACTAGAATCTATCAGACATATTGTAGAAAATCTGTGCTTTTTAATTTGGTGCAAACAATTTTAAAAGTGCAGTTTCAAAATTGGTGCAAACAATTTTTAAAAACGCATACATAGTTTTCTCACAAGGATTGAAGACCACCCTGAAATATTTAATGAAAGACAAAATGGTCACGGATCTTGATGATTTCCCCAAAATGTCATCTAGGAATGAACTAGTCCTAAAGATAGGGTTCCTTGATATAACCACATACTTGTGCACACCTACACGTTACACACATCTGGAAAGCAGCTTTAGTTATTCTCCCATTTTTTTCTGTTTTGGCACGGCCCAGACAATTCAGCAAGCAAGCTGGACAGCCAAATGGGAAGATCTTTATCACTCAATTATTTTTCTTATTATAAACTACCTCCCAATTCCTCATACTTCCCCCGTTGCAATTTCATGATGTTCTCTCAACTTCCCAAGGAGATAAAGTGAAATGAGGGTCCTTGAGAATTTCCTTGACCTTTCACCCAGGATGAAAACTAATTTTCTACCACAATCAGTAGCTTTCTTAGAATAAATTACCTACAAGGAGAGACAGCCTATACCTCAGGTCCACAGAACAAAGCCAGTCAATCCACCCAGTTCACCTTCACCATCACTTGGATTCTACTGCACTGAAGCTACAGCACCCATGACAACCACCTACTTACTTGGTTCATTTCAAGGGTATTCCAAGTAATTTCAAGCACATGAGTAAGTAATAATCCAATTTCTCTCTATTATTATAGTTCCTAAGAGTATGTGAATGGAATTATTTTTAGCCCAATTATTTCAATTTGGCTCAAAGAAAATTAATTTTCTTTGAGAAGATTGCTCCATTTTAGAGTTTTTGGCTTATACAAAACTCAACAAAGCCTTGGTTTGACAAACCTGCAGTTTAGAATGTTATCTCAGCAAAGCCCAAGACTTTAATTTTGAAAAGCAAGCATGTGCCAAGAATAATTTTTTTAGGACAAGTAGATTTTAAACATAATTCCTCCTTTTAATTTCCAGGAATTAAAATATGCTATGTCTCACGGCCATGTTAGTATAACTTTCTACATGGAATTTTTTAGGTAGTACTATAAAAATAATTATATTATTTTTAATGGTTATCATAATTACCAACAGATATCACACATTAAATAGTTACTATGTATCAGATTTTATATTAGGTCCTTTGTAAATTATTTCAGTTAGTTTTTCAATACCCCTATGAGATATTATCTTCATTTCATAAATGAGGATTTCCAGGCACTTGGTAAGCACAGGGCTTTATACAACATCATAATCTAAAACCAAGTAAACGGGCATGGGAAAAATGCAAATCAAGATCTCTTTGTCCACAAGGCAAAGGCGCCCAATTTTCCTCACATATGGGTCCCATGAAGATTTCTCTCTATATATATATATCTATATATCTGCATCTATATCTGCATCTATATCTATATCACCTGACATGGTAAGAATGGTTGACTATAGTAAATGATTATTTTCATCATTATTCAAAAATTATTCAGAAAAGCTCCCAATCAAATAAGGTAAAGTAGTTAGTTTGCATAATCAAGAGTTTAGTTCAGGGTTGAATTTTCAGGATAGGCAAGGCAGGTCAAAAGCTCACTGTGTGGTTTCATTAGATATCAATTTATGACAGTAGCTAGTTGCAAACAATCAAGACAATGCATCACATAAATATCTCTGCTGCTAAAATCAAAGTGTGTCTCACAGAGGTGGTAAGACAAGGGAAAATGAAGATGAAAGAATCGTAAGAATCTTTCAGCAAGTCTTACAGTATCCTCAACAACAAACCATTCCAATTGCTTGCAGATTGTGCTGGCTTGAACCCAGCCAAGACTTTGTTATTCAGCCAACTTTGTATTGGAAATGACTGTCTTGCTTTGGTATTTGATGGTCAATTTCACATTATTTCAGCAATGCCTGAAGAAATGCTTTTTGACAATTTATAGAAATCCTGGCTGCAATTCATCCCACTATTTTTAGTTAAGACGAGACCAAGGCACCGTGTTGGGCCATACCAAATAGAATCTAGTTCCCGAGTCATAAATACAGGAAAGTATTTAAGTTTTCTACGTTTGGATGTCCAACTACATTAAACTACCACTACCTTTGCCCCTACTAGACAAGCCTCATTGCTTTGATCCCAGAACCTGATTGTCTTAATTTCTTTCAAAAAAAGAACTACCAGGATAAGCTACATATTGAAAGAAGACATTTTGATCAAAAGCATCTGGTTCTTCCCAGCTGTACACTTTGTGCAATTCATTCACCTTCTCTGGTCCTTAATTCTTTCCATTTATAAAATGGGGTGTTATACAATCCTTAATTTCTCTTCCCATTTTAAAAATCATTATGCTGTGACTCATTATTCTATTGCCCATGTTCTAGAACAAAGGCTAGCATCCCTTTATTTTCTGTGAAATTCACTGTAGGTGACCAACAGGCCAGGTTATTCTTGAAGTAATGGACATTCTCACCCAAGCTCTCTCATTTCTAAGTTATAAGCATTTCTACAATTTAGGAAGGCTAATCACGAAATAACTGTGTTAGTCATTTGAATAGCTTTAGGGGTGGGAAAGATCTGGCCCAAGGGCTACATAAAGCATATTGAACCATTTGTTCTAGCCCTGCCAACAACTGCAGGCAGGATTCAAAATTCCATCAATCTATAGCAGGCTAATTTTAAGCTGATAATTTTGAATAGCCTGAAAATGATGTTATAAATATCCAAATGGCCCTTGGCAGAAAAATGAAAAAGTTTCACCACTCATTTCACTCCTATCACAGTCAAAAGCAGAACTGTTACATGATATATCTGTTTTATAATATGCTATAAAATCATAGGCACTGTAAGTGTAAAATTTCATTTCCAAAAGACCTGCAAAGGGAGTCACATAGGAAAATTCTCAGAGTACACAACCATATGATTATAAAGCTCAAGAATCAATACCCAGAGGAGTTAAGAACTTTCTCAGTGTTAAACAGGCATATTGGAACTAAAGCTGTAAAAACCCAGTACCTGGTATCACTCTACTTTGGAGATAAGCATTCCATTTTAAAGTACTGGACAGTTATGCCATCCCAAAGGTAAGAATGCAAGGAACAGAGTCACACAAGCTTGGGGCAAGGCAACTACACTGAGGTGTGAGCCACACTCAGACATGCTTGTTGCAGAGATTTAACAAATTTTATTCTCCCAGAGCAGATGTACATTCTTTAAATTTTGAGATGCATTGAAAAGGAAGTTGAAACAACACATGCAAGTGCAGTCGAGTCAGGCAACATTATTCAAGCTCCTGCCATAATCTGGTCAGAACTTCTAGGAAATTAAGGTCAGGGGAGGGGAGGAGAGAAACTCCAAATAACCAACCTAATAACTACAGGGAAGTCTATAGATTTCTCATGATATTTGTCTCTAGCTACTCATGGGGGTTCCTAAATTGCCAGATTTGTTACATACATATTAAAGTAAGCACTCACAATGACTTGCCCAAATTGAATGCATCCAAGAAAGTAAGTGCAGAATTATCATGAAAGCCTCAAATCAAAGATTGGCTATCCTACCTGCCTCTAATGATTCTTTTTTTTTTTTTTTTCATTTTTTAAAGTCAGTGCTACAATCATAGAGGGGAAGAGAGATCTTCCATTCAGCACAATAACAAGGGCCAGGCCAGGCCAAAGCCATAAGCTTCACCTAGACTCCCAGATGAGTGGCAGGAGACCAAGCTTTTGGGCCATCTCCCACTGTTTTCACAGGTGCATTAGCAGGGAATTGAGAAGGAAGTGGAATATCTAGATCTATTCCTTATGGGATACTGGTGTCACAGGAGCTTAATTTGCTGTGCCACAGCCCCTGCCCTCCTCTAATAATTCTTACAGAGTGAGCAATTAGAGTACTAACAAAGTTTCTACCCATCTAAACCTTAGCTTCTTTTAATGAGCAACAAGAATGTTCAACTTTTTGGAAACCACCCATCTGTAAAATGTCTAAAAGCCTTACAGCTCAGATATTAGAGGAAACACTCACCCAATGTGGTTGGTTCTTAAAGATATTTCCAGTTCTCTCAACACTTGTGTAGATTCTTGAACACGCCTTCTGAATTTCTGTAACACAACAACACATATTCTCACAAATTATTTTAGCAACTGTTGTAACAGTAGCTTGCTTAGCTTTAACACCACATGAGAAACACGTTTTCTAAAGTGAGCTGCTTTCACAAAGCACACTAAGATTTTTTAACAAAGAAAATCAGAGGAGGGACTAAGAAAATGACTGACTTAATACAATAAGTATCTTCAGCAATCATATTCACCAAGACACCTATGGGTCAAAGACCCCAAGAAAACCTCCAGTACCAAGCACTTACTAAGAGGACTCCTGGTACCTAGTACATAGTCACACTCATCATTATGAATATAATGCTAAATTCACCAAGAAAAAAGGCACACGGGATGAAACATGGAAGCCAGCTTCCAAGAATCTTCTTGCCAGGACTTCACAAATGACACCATGCTTCGAGCTCATCAGAGACTCAGTGTCCAGGCTTCTCCTGGGGACAAGTCACACAGGCACATATCAGAATACTGCACTGGTTAACATGCTGCTTGGGATGCCACATCTTGCATGGGAGTGGCTATGTTTAAATTTACACTCTGCCTTTACATCCATAATAGGGAAATAGTAGTGATGGCCCCAGCACCTGGGTCCCTGCTACCCTTGTGGGAGACCTGGATTGAATTGCTGGCCCCCAGACTCAGCCCAAACCTGGCTGCTGTAGGTATCTGGAGCATGAACCAACAGGTGGGATAATCTGTGTATCCCTCTCTGTGCCTCTGCCTTTTAAGCAAATTAAAAAAAATAACACGAATTCCAGACTCCCACGAGGAAAACAGATATTTAGAGAAACCATTATGTTTTCTTCAATGGCTTAGATTCAGCAAGCCATTCTTATCAGAGGAAAGTGGGAACCCTTCCAAAACACAAGTTCCCAGATGCCAGTGGTAAAGGACTAACCTTGCAAAGATGCCCAGTTCTGGATAGCATTCTCCAGACTGCTGTATTAACTCTTCATGAACGAATATACTGCAAAAATCATCATTCAGAGACATGTCTGTCCCAAATCATCACCTGGAAGGTCCCTTCACTGAAACATCAAAATCCTACATATTTTAAGACTCCTTCAGGGTCTTACTTCTTTACCAAGAATTTCTCTAGTAGTGAATGTTTCTACCTCTCTATCCTTTGGACTCTTAGTAACATGCATGCTACCAACAAGAGACTGGAGTATACCTGAGTTCACTGGAATACTTTTTCCCATAGACACATTCTCCATCAGTGATTACAGTCTGGCCACTTTGAAAGAAGACTTCAATATGTAATACCTTCTACTGAGATTTCGGGCTCTCTGAATTGCAGATCTGCATCATCACTGACAAGAAGCTTTGAGAATTTTGGCTCAAGACTGGACTCTTGTTTCCATGGTGACCACAGAAATACAGTTATCCAGCTCCAACCTTCTGCTAATGGCTCTCATAGCTTGCAAGAAAGGTGTGTGAGTGCAAGAAGGAGACTGAAAATGAGGATTCCAGAATACAGGTTGGCCCAACAAAGACCTAAAATGCTGCTAACATGGGAGGCTCCCATCACTCTCTCCTCCTCCTCTGAAAGACTTCTACTTTCTCACTATTGTTTCATAACCATTATTCCAAAGGAGCCTAAAAAGACCTTTCCAGCTTTCTCATTCCAGAAGTAGTAGGATCTAAGAAAAAGAAATTTTCCCAGGGTCTGATGTGGTAGCCTAATGGCTGAAGTCCTCGCGTTGCACATGAAGGGATGCCATATGGGCACAGGTTCTAATCCTGGCAGCCCCATTTCCCATCCAGGTCCCTGCTTGAGGCCTGGGAAAGCAGTCAAGGACAACCCAAAACCTTGGGACCCTGCACTCGCATGGGAGACCCAGAAGAGGTTCCTGGCTTCTTGCTTTGGATCAGCTCAGCTCCAGCCACTGCAGCCACTTGGGAGTGAATCAACAAATAGAAGATATTTCTCTGTCTCTCCTCCTTTCTCTGTATATCTGACTTTCCAATAAAAATAAATAAATCTTAAAAAAAAATAAATTTCTGCAATGTGATGTAAAGAGAGAATTGTTCACTCCCTTTCTCTATCAAAAAATGACCTAAAAGACACAGGAGTTTAGCTTAGTAATTAAGATGCTGCTTAGGATGCCTGTGTTTCATGTCTAGTACCCGAGTTTGATTCCCAGATCTGATGGCTCAATTCAGCTTCCTGCTAATGGAGATGCTGGGATGCAGCTGTAATGGCTCCAGTAACTGTGTCCTGCCACCTGGATTGAGTTCCCAGCTCCTAACTTCAGCCCTGGCAATGGCTGGCATTTGAGATGTGATTCAAAAAGCAGGAGCTCTTCTATGTTTTTCTCTGCCTCAACAACAAATAGCTATACATAAATAATTACTGTTTAAAGGTATAAGAAATGCCGGAGTCATGGATAGTCCGGAAGGACATCTGAGCCTAGAGTTCGCTGGATCCTCTTCCAGCAATGAAGAGACCAGTTGCAGTACCTGGCAAATTAGCAAAGTAAAGCAGGTGACAGACTAACTCTAGAGGGCATCCTCCAGAAAGGACCTCCATCTGGGCAGTACTGCAGCTTGGACAAAGATCGCAGATTTGTGGTCAACCACTTTCAGGTGTGTTGTCTGTTTCAGAGCAGCAGCTCCCACGCCAGTCTTTACTCAGGCTCTCTGCCCACTTGCCCTTCTGAAACAAACTCAGTGTCCTTGGCTCAGAGTCCTTTGTCTTGGGCAGTGCTGATGCGTTCCCTGCAGCCCTGGGATTTGCAGGTCTCCCATCACTGCCTTGGGCTTTCTCAGGATAAGGTGTTCTATATATGTCATCAGCCACAAGGAGCCTAGCATGGGGATAAGTCTAGATTATAAAAAAAAAAAATGACCAGCCATGTTTGGCTGTGGGGCTGGGGCGAAAGCAGCCTCCTACAGCATAGCTGCCACAGGGGGTGCCCCAGCCAGGTTGGACCCAATGCTGGGGACTCAGGCCATGGTCACTGCTGCCAAGTGGTGACCAAATCCTGGGCTTTGGGCGGCCAGTGCGCCTATTTGGTGCCAGGCTCTGCCTGCTGGAGTTTTTAGGGTATGTAATTGCTACCTAAGGACAGCCGTGGATAAGCCCAATGTGAGTATAGGTGAGGGATGAATCCTGGGTGATTCCCAGCAAAGGGATAACAAAATTTGCCGGCAAGCATGGGGACTGAGACCTATTGGTTTAGAGGGGAGTCAGTAAGATCTATTTGGGCCAGACTGATTCACAAGCCCACATGGAAATCCTGAGATGGGCTATTAGCACAGAGCATCACTGACTGCCACACCAGTCCACATGGAAGCTATGGCTGAGGAGCTGTCTGGCAGTGCTAGGTACCAGTACCTGACTCAGTGGTGGAACAGGGGATGGCTCACACTTGGTAGGGTCAAGACACTAATCAGCATGTGAGAACCAGGTCTGGGGGTAGATGAACCAGGTCTGTGGGGGACATGTAGGCCCAATCCTGTGGAAATACAAGTCCCACTGGTAAGCTCACGAGTTGGAATGGTGATGGGCTGAGCTAGATGTGACCATGGAATCTGCAGCACTTATAGGTAAAGGAACCGACAACAGTCTGGGCAGGTCAAGGCAACAGTACCTGAATGTGCATCCTAAAACAGGATGTGGGGTAGGCGGAGCTGCAACTGGAAGGGGGCGGACTGGGCAGTGCCAAGCAAACCTCAACTCACAAGGAATAACAGAAATCAGGATAGAGCACAGGTCATGCCAAGCTAGGCTCTTGCACTGACTGGTTTACATGAGCCAGGGATACTAGGACAGAGCAATGAAGGCAAAGGCCAACACAGGTGAGGGGCGAGGCCAACTGGGTCAAAGTAACCACTGGCACGTGTGTACTCTAGGGATGGTAATAGACCCAGTTGGGGAGCTGTGAGAATACTCCCTTGCTGGGTTGGTGTAACCCCTGGTGAATGTAGGGACCAGAGTGAGGGTTGCATTCTGGTCTGGATATGGTTGCAATCTCCCTTGGTACAAGTGTGAACTGGGGCTGGGTAAACCTAGCCAGGCTAGATGCCAGCACAAACAGAGTCTCTGGAAAATCTGGGTAGATGTAGGACGGACAAAGCTAAGTTTTGGCTCCTACTAAGCCATGTGTGAGCAGTGTCTTGGTATGGACAAGCCTTGGCTGGGCTGAAACATCTAATAGTAAGAACCGGAATGGATTGAAGGTCAGTAAGGAAAGGTCATTGTTCCTGCCAGGACAGGAGATGGACTAAGTGGGGCTGGCCCATGGACCCACTGGTATGCTCAAGATCTGCCATAGGTAGAGGTTCTGATGGACGAGCTTGGGAAACTCTTCTGGCAGGACACAGTCCCTGCAAGTGAGCATAAGAACCACAATAGGGAGCAACCCAGACCAGGCATAGTTCAGGGGCAGACCAGGCTGAGCCAGTTCACATTACCTACTGGTGAATCTGAACACCAGAACAGAGTGTGGTCAGGCCAGGTTTGGTTGCAACACATACCAGTGCACATTATGGAAAACCAAGGTGAGGTGAGCCGTACCAGATGTGGCCGCAGCGCCCAACCAGCACACATGAGAACCAAGGAGGGATGGGACAAAGCCAGAAGGGGGAATGTGGACTCCCCTGCTGGACAGCCACTCCCACTGGAGAGCATGAGCTGGGATGGGGGCAGACCAGACCAGGCAGGGATACAACACCTGTGGGCCTCATGTGAGCTAGGTCAGGGAAAAGCCAGGCTTGGCTGACTGCTCTGACTGATGCAAGCATAAATTAGAGTTGGTGAGGGTTGGTTGGATTTTGCCGCAACATCAGCTGGCAGAGGCTGGCACTGGGGGCTAAATTTGTCAAGTTAAACTCTAGAACCACCTGGAGAGTGCATGATCCGGGAATGGGAGTGGCCTAGTGGGGAGATAATGGGCACCTCCCTTCTGGGTTACCACTCCCACTGGAGAGCATGAAAACCAGGACAGGGGCAGGAGTGGCTAGAGAGAAAGACACCTACCAGTATATCTGTGGACTGGATAGTAGGGCTTGTTGGGTTGAACTAGGCTTCAATGCCCATTGACATGTATGAGAGCTAAATGGGATGTGGGAGAGACTGAACAAGTCTGCGGTACATACTGGCAAGCATGGGAACCAGGGTATGGGGCAGGCCTGGTGGGGTTATGGGAAGTAGCCCAAACTAGGCTGCAGCTCCCCTGTTTTACATGAGGACCGAGTATGAAGTAGACAGGATCAGGCTTGACTGCAACAACCACCGGTTCATGTGGAAGACAGGGCTGGAAACAGAACTGGCTGAGCAATTGTAATGACCAGAATGTGCATAAGCTGAATGGGGCGACGGGCTGTGCTGGACCCTGTACTGGCAAGCACACACAAGAATCAGGTCTGGGATCACCTCAGATGAAGTTTCTTTGCAGAATCCCTCCAACTGTACCGCTGATCTCAGAACCCCAACCATGAAGAGATCATGTCAACCAGTGGATTCTGAAGAGATTTCATCATGCTTGCAATGGTGAGATTGGCAGCAACTCAAATCTGTTGAACTATCAAAACCTATCAAAACTGTTTGAACAAGATCTTCGGAGCATGCCCCACATAGGGGACCTGGGATGGGTGGGAGGTTGGGTGGGGTTTTCCCCTTTGTTTCTCCCCTGACCCTAGATACAGGGGGAAAAAAAATGATATTAGTGTGGAAACTATGGTCTTACCCAGTTTCTTGTAATCCTTGACCCTCTGTGCCCTAATCTATGTAAGATTATCTATCAAAATTAAAAATATTAAAAAATTAAAAATAATAATAATAATAAAACAGAACCAGCCAAAGGGCTCACAGTTAGACTTCAAAACAAGAAAAGGCAATCAAAACCCTATGTAGTAAGAATAACCGCAGCAGTTGGTCCTGACTAAGCCGGGCACTATCCTTTGTAACTGCATAACTGAGGTCAAACTCAGCTGACTTTGCCATGTATTCTATTATTTTGGCAAATGCTCTAGTTTCAGCTTAACTTTGGACTACAGAGAAACCCTAGCTGGCATCCATTCCTCTAACACATTAACAAGGAGAGCCAATATCACACATGGCTAAAACATATCCAAGGTGCTTTCACACTTCAAATGGAAATATGTGCCTATGGGGAGCAGCTCAAAGGAGCCAGGTGGGATCCATGGGCAGTATGGACCCCACCCTTGCCCTTCTGTGTACAAGGAGGGTCCACAGATGAGCCTACAAGAGGCAACAGAGTCTGGGACAAGCTGTACAGTCAGTTTCATTTGCACAACTGCGGCATCAGCGAAAGACCAGACTCCCCTCTTTGTGATCTGCAGGCAAAAGCACAGACTTCCAGCAACCTGCCCTGAAACCAAGCAGCTGGCTTGCAAAGCTTGGGTCAGAAAGACATCTAATTGAATTTCTTCCTTCTCTGTCCTGAAGGCTTTCATTTAAAACAATTTGGAAGAAAATCTACATGGAAAATACTTAAGAATTTTTTTTAAAGAGCAAATAAAGTATTTTCTATTCAATTTAAACAAAGGATGAATGAGTGCAGCATCCAAGGACTCCAGACATAGTTCAAAGAAGCCTGCTCAGCCCAGGATGTCTGGCCAACATGTGAAACCCGGATGGGAACTCCAACCCCTCTCTCTGCAATGTGTAACAGCTGAGAATTCTAAGCTCATCTGAACTACAGTCCATGCCTTACTCTCAACAAATTCAACTCTCTGGGCTCTAAGCATCACAATTATGCTGTGTGCAGCCAATGACTGCCTCTTGCTGGCTCCAGCAGAAGCCGTACTAAAGCAAGAGTGGCTCGTCCTTTCATCCAGAGCCGAACATTACATCTTGAGAGATGAGACTCTGAGCAAACCACTCAGGTGAATACACAGCCCAGGGCAGAGAAGTCAACCGTGATGGACCAGAAGTCTTGGTCCACCTCTTTTTCTCATTTTCTGAAAATCTGGTGTATTAGTTTTGCTTTGTTTTCCCAAACCTGGAAGTAACTGATCTAAGGAAGAAGCAGGACTGTGGGGGCACAGAGGATCCCTCTTCCTCCTGAGCAACTTCCTCCTTGTAGTGTCTGGGGTTTACAGGCTCAGTAGCAACCTGTCAGTCTACAGATTTCCCCCACTCCACCTTCCAGAATTCCACAAATGTGAAGAAGATTGCTTAGGGATATAATGTATGCTGTCTAAGAGCAAACCGAGCAGATCTCAGTAGTATCTACAAACACTGGCATTTTTGTCACTCTCAGCTGGGGATGAGGGTACCTAACGCTAAGGTCTGAACCATCCAACTTGCCTAGTTCAGAAACCTATACTAAAGAAGGACTTTGTTGCCCTATGCAAGCAAATCATGCAAAAACATATGCTTATTTTGTTTAGGTGTCTTCCTTCATAACTGTCTCTAATTTGATGAAATCAAGGCTACCACATCTCTTTCTTTCTTTCTCTTTTCCTTTCTCTCTTTCTTTTTTTAAACTGAGAGAGAGAGAGAGAGAGAGAGAGAGATCTACTATCTGCTGATTCACTCCCAAAGCAGCCACACAGTTCAGGGCTAAAACCCATGACAAAACCAAGAGCTTCATCGGGGTCTCCATGTGAGTGTTAAGGTCCCAGGCATTTCAGCCATTTTCTACTACTTTCACAGGTGTATACTATTACAGAGGGGGGTGGATCAACAGGGTCATGAACCAGCACCCATAATGGGATACCATTGTTACAGGTGACAACTTGACTTGCTGTGCGGTAATCCCAGGACTGATGCTGTACTCTTAAATGCAAAATGTAAACAAGAGAGAAACAAAGCATTTGGGAAGCCTGACAACATTTTTAAAAAAGAAAGATGGCTTATGTAAAAGGTAGAGTGACAGAAAGAGATGTTCCATCTTCTGGTTTACTCCCAGATGACCACAGCAGCCAGGGCTGGGCCAAGAGGAAGCCAGGAACTCCATCCATCTATGTCTCCCAAATAGCTTGCAGGGAGCCTAAGCACGCAAACAAGCTTATTGCTTTCCCAGGTACATTCGTGGGTAGCAGAATGTCCAGGACTACGATATGGGGTGCCAGAATTGCTTAACCCACCTTGCCACACTGCTGGCCCTAATAGCTTTTCTTTAGGAAGCATGTAGATCCTTACAAGATACACTGGAGCCTCATTAGGGATGGAGCTGACAGTGAAGGTTTGGATGCTCTCCATCTTCCCTAGATTCTACTGCAACTTGTCTGTATATGAAGTATGAGCCCAAAGACCACGAAACTTCCAAGATCAAATAACTGCTGTTCCTTGACCGACTTTGGAGGAAGGCAGGAGACAGAACAGAAAGTGACAAAAAAAAGGAAAGAAAAATTTTAAAAATATGGAATAAAGAGCCTTTTCTGACTAAACCAGAAAAGTGTGCCATTGTTTTCTCATGAGTCATACATCAAAACAACAGAGGGATTTCAGCTAGATATTTTTGCTGGTGCCTTGAAAACAGGAGTTGTGGAACGTCGGTGGAAAAACAAGTGCTATGCGGAGGAGAGCCCCTTCACCCTCCCTGAGCAGGCACAGCACTGCCTTGAGACACTCCAGGACTGACCCAGGGCCGCAGGGCTGTGCCAGGCTACATCCTCTACCACAAGGCATCAGCTAAAGCCAATTGTGAGGCTGCACAAAGCAATGCTTGTTTGTAAAACACAGTCAGCTGAGAATGGAACCAGCTATTTTCTCCTTACCTTCTTAGGGCCAGGGGCAGGGCCTGGGTGGGGAAGCTGTTCAAACTATCAACACAGGATGTGTGTGCACTGCAGGGATTGACAAAGCCCCAGTGATTTTTTTTTAAGGTCTCTGGGATTGTCTCCAGGCATGAAAGGTAAGTGTTTTCTCCAGCAAGGCCTGCTTTCCTGGGGCCTAAGCACCTTGGACTGACCATGTGGCCCTGTCTAAAAGGAAAGAGGAGGGAGTCAAATAACCATCAAAGGTTCATGACTTCCACCTCAGCAAAGCATCTTTAACCTCAAGTTAAGAGGTTTTTTTCCTGTGACTTCTTTCATAGTCGGTTTCCAATGGTGGTTTTCCTGGAGGCAGGGGCAGAAACTAATGCAAAGGAAAAGAACTCATGGAAGGCACCAAGACTACGAGCTTTTGAGGATGCAACAACAACAACTGCAAACAAATTCATTTTACCTTCCTGGTTACAGCTGGATCCAGGTAGCCCTTGAGCTTCTGAATGTAAGTATGAGGAGGATTCTTCACTTGGAAGCGTTCCTGTAAGAAGCACATAAGTAAACTGCATGAAAGGTAGGAAGGCATGACACATTCAAATCAAACAGCTTAATAACATCACTGATGAAGGACCAAATGCATCCATGCAGGGACATGACCCTACAAAAAGACACTATGTACTGATTGTTTTGAATCTTTATAACACATTTCATAATCTTTGAACAGGAGGAGAACTGAAGCTCAAAGACATGCAGTCTACTTGTGCTTGATGATGACACAGCCAGTCAATAGGACATGTGGACTTTTTAATTAGTTAATTTTTATTTCCCCTGTCTCCTTCCCACCTAATCCCCCCATATTATTACTATAGCATAACTTTTCATAAACAGTCACATGTTCATCATTGTGGGTAGGGATAATGGCCAAGTGTCCAGACTCCCATTGACAAAATACAGCTAATAGTTTCATTGGTAGTCCATCTTTGATCTGGAAGTAGAGTTGCACACTGCACTGCATCCTCATATCTGGACATGATAGTCTCTATTACACAGTCACCACACATCCCTCTTAAATGAAAAGCCACAACACAACATCAACAACAGGAAGAAAAACAGAAATTTTCAACACCATGTAAATTCTCAAGAGGTTTTCATAGTTCAACAGTCCTGAATTGCTGGTGAATCCACCACTCCAATCACGATGAGATTTCTCCCGAATCCACTGGTTGCTTTGATCCACCTTAGCGTCTCCGTCTGCCTATATCTTCACTGCCAATGATTGGCTGGGGTAGTTGATCAATTTGTTCTGTCTTCTGTCCTATGCCATGGTACCAGGTGTCCTCTAGAGGCTCTGATGTACTGCCATATCCTCCATGTACATTTGGATATGCTGTCCTCTGCTCCATCTGAGCCACTGAGGAGGCCCAGCTCTGACACATCCATTCTCACAGTCAGCATATGGAACCAGCACTTATATTCATGGTTAGGGTTCTGAGTCCAGCAATTCAGTTGGTAGGGAATCGTCCAAGAAACGTCATCTGAGGCCATTGCAGACCTGATTTTTGTATGTGTTTGCCAATACAGGGTCTGGCACAGTCTGTCACCCAAATCAGCCTACCCACACACTGGTGGTTGCAATTGATGGCTCAGTTCTATATCCAGCCCCATGTTTTACAAAACCTGATGGGTGTTGGAGCCTAGCCCAATCCTGGCCACCACATACTCAGCCTTCACATAAACCAGTGGGAGCTGCAGCCTAGTCGGAGTGACTCACAATTGCCCCCATCAGGCCTGCCCCTGCCCTGGTTCCTGTGCTTGCCAGTATGTACAGCAGACTGGTCCTGTCTGTCCCCATCCCATTCAACTCTCGTACATGTTGATGGGTACTGAAGCCCAGTTCGTCGCAACCAGCGCCACTCTGCAGTCCACACTGGTGCCAGCAGATGCCACCATCTGTCTAAGCCATACCTACGTCTGACAGAATTTGGCCCCTGATGCTGCAGCAAAGCCCAATCAATCCACACCAACATTGGCTTATGCATGTACCAGAAGGTACAGTCAGCCCAGCCTGGCTTTTCCCTGATCTAGCTCACACGTAGGCCATCGGATGTGGCCCTGCCTGGCCTAGTCTGCCCCCATCCCAGGTCTCATGCTCACCAGTGAGATTAGTGGCCCTGCAGGGGGGCCTTCACAGCCCCCTCACTGGGGTTATTTCCACCACGCCCCATGTTTCACATGTGCTGGTTGGGTGCTGCAGCCCACTCTAGCACAGCCCCCTCACCTTGCCATTTGCCAGTGGGTGCTGTAGCCTGGCCAGGCCAGATCCGCCCCCCCCCCCAATTCCAATTCATGCCAATGGGAGCTACAGCCTAGCCCAGCCCTGCCAGTTCCCAGTCCTGGCCCTTATGTGAACTGGCTGGTACTGTGCCCTGACCCACACTCCATTTTGACACTCAGATTTGCCAGTCGGTGATATGGACTGACCCAGTCTGGCCTGCCCCCAATATGCAACAAATGTATGCCAGTGGGTACCATATTTTGGCCTGGTCTAGGCTGCTCCCTGTCTTGATTCTTGCACTCATCTGCAGGGAGCGTGTAACAACAGAGCAGTTCCCCAGGCTCCTCTATGCAGATCCAATGCCAGATCTCGCGCACACTGGTGGGTCCATGGGCCAGCCATACTTAGCCCACCTCCTGTCCTAGCAGGAACAGTGGCCTTTCCTCACTAGCCCTCACCTAATCCAGTTCTTGCTGTTGGGCGCTACAGCCCAGCCAAGCCTCATCCATACTCAGACAGAGCTCACACATGGCTCAGTAGGGGCAGAGACCTGGCCTAGCCTGTAGGACACGTGAACTTGAACTCATGTTAGCTCTGCTGCTTTCTTGGCTGAGTCCTATATCTCTCATTCTAGGTTTCTGCAGGTCTTCAATTAGTTGTATGTTCTCTTAACTATCTTCAGTGTTGGAAAATCATTCCTTCTTGCATGCTTAGTTTATCTTTGAAACAACAACAACAAAAAACATGATTCACATTGGATAAAACTAATTTATTCCAAAGACATGAGTAGCAATTCTAAGGCTAAGAGAAGGAGGGTCACAGTGTGCTTGTATTTGTATGCCTTTATATACATGAGTGTTATCATTAGTGAATTCCTAAGGCAGTTCCAAATGAGAAAATCCCCAAAAATACGTAATATTTATCCCAATGGGCCATCTGAATGTAGATCTTGGATAGGGCTCCAAAGAGGTATTTCTAGCAAGTTTTACGCTGATGTTGCCAACAGAGGAACAACACTTTGAGACCATCAGGCACACATTTATTGAATTTTAAGCTACAATATTCAAGACAGAACAGACAACAGTGTACCAATTCAGGAGAAAAACAAACGTCTACACACTTGCAAATAAGTACTAACAACCCCGCATTACATCCAATGACAACAATATAGCCTATGCTTCCACTGAGAGATTTCATAAACCTGAGGCCAAGCCAAAACAAACACATCATTGTATTTACATGAAATCTCAAAACAAAATAATTAAACTCTAATGCTTAGAAATGCATACACAAACGCAATATTTCTGTGTATGATGTTATTGTGTGTGTGTGTGTGTCTGTCTGGAGATGATCAGCATAAACTCAAGTATAAAACACTGAGCAGGGTAAAGGTTGTATTCAAGGAAGGAAGTACAATGGGTCCAAGCTGGCTGGAAGCGATTCTTTTCTTGACTGGATCAGAACATAAACAGGTGCCGGCTTTCTACTATTCATCTTACAGCTTCTTAGGTCTTACAAATAATAACAATAAAAAAGTTTAAATCAGCTCCAGAAGGATTAAAAAACTAAAGTCAAACGAAGGCTTTTGTCATTGAGGACAATTCTTCTTTTCCATCTAAAGCTCAGAATGTTTTTTGCGGCAATATTTTAAAAATCTGGTTACTGTTTGATCTATAATGGAATTTTTCAATATTTCCCAACACTGACAATTAGGCAACATGCTTAACCATTTGTTTATCCCATACAAGCTTATGTTTCTCCAACACAGGGATTCCCAACATTCTTCCCAGTTCACCCAATTCTTACTTATGTACAGATTTAGAAATGTTAAGGACTGGATTACTAATGTTGAACAGAGAACACATTATATAATAACGTTTATTGGTACAAACGGTTTCTAATAAAATATCAATTAATATTTTCACTTTGTTTAAAATAAAGTAGGATAAATTTCACGGTATTTAAATTACACTTCTATAAAGCTCTGGTTTTTATGTAAAAAAAAAATAAGCATAATATTCCTACTTAGCACCTCAAAGTTTCCTTCCTAAGTAAAATATAAGTTCACAAGTATTCAACATCTCTAGTGTCACTGCGTTAGGGTATAAAACCTTCAAAAATAATTTTTTAAAAAATCACTGATGGATCAGAGGCAATTCAGGTGCCACAGGGATTTATCAAGTGTGAGTGTCTGGGTCAGGGCTTGAGAGAATTGCCAAAATCTCTGAAAAACAGCCTAAGGAGCTACCAAAGTTCAGTTGTTTGAAATGGAGTGATGGTTTAGCTGGCTAATCTTCTGCCTGAAAGTACCAGGATCCCATATGAGCACTACACCAAGGCCCCTGTCTCCCTGCTGCTCTAATTCTCACCCAGTTCCCTACTTTTGGGCTGGGAAAACAGTGGACAATGGCCCAAAGCTTTGGATCCCTGCACTCTCATAGGAGACCTGGAGGAGATCCCTGGCTTCAGGATCAACTCAGCTCTGGCTATTGTAGTCATTTGGGAAGTAAACCAGCAGATGCAAGATCGTTCTGTCTCTCATCTCTGTAAACATCTTTCTTAGAAAGTTGTTGTTTTCTATTTTGTACGTGACATAAACTGAACAACATATCAGAGAAATATTAGGATAAACGAAAATTTTGCTTTTTTAAAAATAACAACTCTATACCAGTTTTTACAAATCCTATGACCCATAATCACACCAGCTGTGTGCTTCCTTCTGCTGTGGCAAGTAATGGTCGATTTAAGGTCACTAACACATGAAAGTCAACAAACCATAGCTCTGGTCAAAGTACTAATGCTTAAGGACTCAAAATCTGAACTAGCCAACAGGTTGCTGCCAAGTGGCTATTCTGATAGGCTGCATCTTCATAGCATAAGAGCCATAGTTAATCCTCCAGAAAAGGAGAATCTGGTTGAGCAGACCACAGAGCTAAGAGATTAGATGACTTGCTTAAAATCATTCTCCTATCTATATCAAAATAGAGATACAGAGACAGTTTCAAAGAGTTTGCAAGAATGCATGCTATAAAATATCATTCCTGAGTTTAAACTTCTTTGCACCAAAATAAGGTTATCTTTTAATTTTCATTTTCCATCAATTCCATATATCAGAACCAAGATTCAAACACAGGCTCTGACTTTTTGTTCCTTTTCACAACACAGTAATAAGTGTCAGGAATTTGATGGTGTACTTCAAAATGGAAGTTTTGTCACTGATAGTTTTCATGGAACTAAACTTTTAAATGCTATATGCAAGGCAATTC